TTTTGTACTTACTTACAAACTCTTTTGTAAATATCTTTATATATATGTGTGTGTGTGTGTGTTAAAATAGGCCAGTTGTTTCAAAATTAAACAAAGTTAATTCGCTTCTTAAAAATCTGTAGCTTATTTCAAAGTATTTCGTTTTCTTCTTTACTATTAGATAAATGCTAAGTTTGAGCTTTAAATTACTCGCATCATACGATGGTAAACACCTCCGATGTTTCTGGATGATAATGAACGTGTGAAACGTTAGGACACCTCCGATGTTTCTGGATGATAATGAACGTGTGAAACGTTAGGACACCTCCGATGTTTCTGGATGATAATGAACGTGTGAAACGTTAGGACGTATATTGCAAATGTTTATTCATTACTACACACAAAATCTTTAGCACGTTCCATTATCATATGGTCATCCTCTTATTATTTAACTTCAATCTAAAAGCTTAGTTTCTGTGCCAAGGTACGGGACGTCTAGTGAAACTAGGATATATAGTGACATTCCTCTTATTATTTAACTTCAATCTAAAAGCTTAGTTTCTGTGCCAAGGTACGGGACGTCTAGTGAAACTAGGATAAATAGTGACATTCCTCTTATTATTTAACTTCAATCTAAGAGCTTAGTTTCTATGCCAAGGTACGGGACGTCTAGTGAAACTAGGATAAATAGTGACATTCCTCCTATTATTTAACTTCAATCTAAAAGCTTAGTTTCTGTGCCAAGGTACGGGACGTCTAGTGAAACTAGGATAAATAGTGACATTCCTCCTATTATTTAACTTCAATCTAAAAGCTTAGTTTCTGTGCCAAGGTACGGAACGTCTAGTGAAACCAGGATAAATAGTGCCATTCTGTTTTGTTTACTGTCCATAAGGATACGTTCTAGACAGGACGTGGTTAGTCTACTGTTCATAAGGATACATTCTATACAGGACATGGTTAGTCTACTGTCCATAAGGATACGTTCTAGACAGGACGCAGTTAATCTACTCTCTATAAGGATTCGTTCTGTATAGACAGGACACATTATCCTGTCTATAAATATTCGTTCCATATAGGCAAGACACAATTAGTCTACTGTCTACAAAGATTCGTTCTGTATAGACAGGACACAATATCCTGTATATTTATATTCTTTATATATAGGCAAGACACAATCAGTCTACTGTCTACAAAGATTCGTTCTGTATAGACAGGACACAATATCCTGTATATTTATATTCTTTATATATAGGCAAGACACAATTAGTCTATTGTTTATGAGGGTTTGCTTTAGACATGATACAGCTAATCTACTGTATATAAGGATTCGTTCTAGACAGAACACAGTTAGCCTACTGTCTATAAATATTGACAGTAGATATGACATAATTATTTCTGCCATATACAAGATCTGTATTATCTTAAGAAGTTCTCTTTTGATGAAAAACGCATATACTTTAGAATGTCTGTTTTAAACCGCCATGAAACTCACACTTTCTTGTTTCTTTATATTCCAACATCATTTTAAAAGAGTTACATTAGAATTATATATATTATAAAGATTTGTGGTTAGGGCCGAGAGTAATAAATCCAATTCCTAGGAAGTTTACAATAGCCACTTTTTTCTGTAGCTTTGACACTTTATTAACCCTTTATTTTCTACATTTTGATCTTTTGTTTCGTCAGAACTTTAATTTTCCCTGTTAATCAACACCTTAATCCAAAGTGTAATTCATCGT